CTTCGTTAAAATTCTGAAGGGGGGGTCAGAGTATTAATTATCGATTGTTCAGCTGTATCGACTCTTTTTGCGTCTGCTGCGAGTGGCGCTGGATGGTGCTTGGCGCTGAGGGCTGATCAAGGCTAAAGCGGACCATTCAGACACTTTGCGAGAGGCGTTTAAGAGGCACTTGGATTTTAGCATCTGCTCGCGACTTTGCATAATCAACTCATCAAGAGCAAAAGTACATTTGGAGAGTCCCCGTCTCAGAAGGCGACTACTTGGGGACGTCTGCATGTAGATGATGCTAGAATTACGAGGTCTCACCTCATTGTGCTGAAAGCCAGGAGGCCGTAGAACAGCGTGTGCAGCACATTGTAGGCCACGTCTGGACGAAATGCCGCCACTTGCCCCTCTCTGGCTCCTTTCTTTTCCTCGGTGGAACCTCTGTTAGGCCTGCTGAGAAACCGAAAAACACAGCGGCACAAAAGACAACAGTGATACATAAAACATTACATCCAGACGCTCGAGACGAGAGGCAGAAGGGGAGGTGGGTGGAATTAATATTATTCAGATTTCAGTAGCTGTTATTCAGATTTCATTAGTAGTTTGAACACAAGTGGACACGCAACGATACACACACCCACGACCGTTTCTGTCTGCGGGAGTCGGCACGCGGACAAACAGACGAAGGCTCGAGGGCATGATGTCACTCCCCCGAATTGGCCTCCTGCACCGAATCAGACGGACACTGGCTGCCATTTGAATACAAATCCAATCTGGCTCTTCCTTCTACGTGAGCTGGGCTAAACTGGATTAAATTAATTCCCGAATTGGCAAATAGCCCTTTGTTCTATGAGGTTAGTATTCCAAGCCTCCAACGGCAGAGTGCGAGTTGATATGCTAATGTGATTAGTTCGATATGGCCCCTCACCTTGCACCACAGGCGCATGAGGCTTCAAGAGGCAGAGCGGCTTTGCAGAGCGTGAAGAAACAATGTGGAGCAGACTGTGACTACTACTACGACTGGGCTTCTGCCTCCTAATAAACATCTTGTCTCTTCTATTTTCTGAAGGAGCTGAAACCTTCGATTCATTTATACCTCACTAATTTTTCTCCAAAGATATCTGCATATGAAAAAAGAATCTGTGGGCAAGGGAAAGAGTTTCAGTACTGGAAGCCTTCTGGTTTCCTTTGTAGTTTAATTTTAATACATGAATGTATGACAAGCAAAAGAGAAACAGAGCTGATGAAATGAAACTCCAAAGCAATCGGCTCTGCTTTATTTTTGCCTGATTTATCACTAGTTTCTGGAAAGAAATACTGATCAAGTCTTTTCCCAGAAAACAGTTACCTGTCATCAGGGTACCTGCTCACTGCACCTTCTTCAAACTTTCTTTTGATAAAGTTTATAATTTAGTTAGAGCTGGATCAGCTGACCCCAAGCCATCCATTGCTTAAAGCTCAGGCTGCTGGAGCAACCTCCAATAAAGCAGTGTACTTTGGAAAATATGCAAGAAAACTGTTCCTGCTGAAGGTGAAAACAACAAACGTGTTTCACTGCACGAGGCAAAAATACACCGTCAAGTACAGCTGCTAAGAAGGAGATGCTAGCAGCTGGTGACGTGCGACCCAAACGTAAACAAATGAGCGAGGATCGCTGGAGCCCTCGCTAGCTGCAGACGGGAAGAACAAATGGATGGAAACTACTCCTGTACAGTGTTTTAAGCAGCTGGCCAAGATACAATAACCAGATTTATTATGTGAAAATATTTTCCGTGAAGGTTCTCAGTCATCCAGGTCATCGTAGTCAAAGGAGCTTGCAAAGAAAAGCGTCTGGACTTCTTTAAGTTACTTGAAGACGTTTCACCTCTCATCCGAGAAGCTTCTTCAGAGCCAAGGTGTGAAACTGGCTGGCTCAGGCGATTAGAGGATCATCAGGGGGCCCTTTTGTCCCTCTGTGGGGGGAAACTCCCACTAGGTTTAAATCTGGGACTCCCCACCATTTGACCTTAGAACTGAAGAAGCTTCTCGGATGAGAGGTGAAACGTCTTCAAGTAACTTAAAGAAGTCCAGACGCTTTTCTTTGCGAGCTCCTTTGACTTGTGAAAATATTGTTTAACTTAAGCTAGTTTAGTTCTTTTTTTGTCCTGTCTGCTTCCCCAACCAGCCATGACAGACGTCTGCCCCTCCCTGAGCCTGTCAGAGGTTTCTTCCTATTAAAAGGGAGTTTTTCGTTCCCACTGTCACCAAGTGTTTGTCATCTGATTGTTGTTTTTTTCCTGTTATTGTAGAGTCTTTACCTTCAATATAACGTGACTTAAGGTGACTGCTGTTGTCTGACGTTATAACTAAAACTGAACTGAATTTGTTATCATTAAACTAAAGTGTTAAGCAGTAACTTTATACTTTTACATTAAATTTCCAGCGAGGCTCTTCTACGACTCTCCTAATGTGTCTCCTGTGCTAACGCCCTTGTAATCATTATCCTAATGATTCCTCTGGAGCTGAAGAGTGCTTTCAAACTCAGATATCTTACCCGTCTTTGTCAAGCTGGTCTGACAGAGACGGCCTCTCTGCTCGTTACTTTGCCGCTCACCCATACTGTGGACTGGATTTAAACCCCATCTCTTTTCTCTCAGGGTTGCTGTTCCGAGTTGCCAGAGATTCATTCCAGTGTTCATCCTGTTTTAACATTCCCTTTGAGAAACTTCCCTTTGTGACACTAAAACCTGTGAACTTTAAGCTGTTGTCTCTCAGGTCCTGCTTAAGAGTCCGTTTCATAGTTACACCTTTCATGGTCGTGGCACTGGGCTACATTGTGCATACATTTGTGCTGCGTCACTACTATTGCACCACAATGCTGCTGCTGGTATCTTGGTATAATTAGTTCACACTTTGAATTAGCTAACGTTTCATCAATGACAGAAGCTGACTGGAAAAGACAGAAAATGGCCTTCATTTACTGGCTTCATTTACTTCTAAATGTTGCTGCCTGCAAAGGTCAATAAAACTGTTCAGTATGTTTTTTCTTTTATCGTCAGAAATGCTGTTAGCACAAATTTGAATTATCATGATATAATTTGAAGCTATATCACTTTCCTCTACTTTAAATGTGTCGTCCTCTCCTCTGTCTACTCTCCTTGTTCTTTGTAGTTTCTCTCTTCTCTTTCCCCTCAACCCCACCTGGTTGCAGCAGATGGCTCTCCTTCTTTGAGCCTGGTTCTGCCGGAGGTTTCTTCCTGTTAAAAGGGAGTTTTTCCTTCCCACTGTCGCCAAAGTGCTTGCTCATAGGGGGTCATATGATTGTTGGGTTTTTCTCTGTATCTATGAAGCGCCTTGAGGCGACTTTTGTTGTGATTTGGCGCTATATAAATAAAACTGAAATTGAAATTTCTTCCCTCTATCGCCAAGTGCTGCGGGGGGAACATGTCTTCGGTGTTCTCTCTCTTATACTGTAGGGTCTTATATAAAGCACCTCGAGACGACAGCTGTTGTGAGCTGGTGCTATGTATATTTAAATAAAGTGAACCGACACAAAGTTTATAATTGATTGTTTCCAATGCAGAGAAACTTTAGCAATCATCTGGAGTTTACTTTAACACAAACCACCCACCTAAACATTGCTGCAGACCAGGCATGACTTTCTTGGTAACTGAACTTTCTGGCAGAGTGACTGAACTTTCCTCAGCTCCACATGCCCCGCCCACAACAAAAACTGCCCATGAATGGGTCAAAAAATATGGAGTAGAGTAACAAAATATTAATTTAATGTTGTTTTGCTTTGTGGGGTTTTTTAATTTTATTTTGTGACTGATCAGAGTAATCTGGAGCTACTTCGTCTTATATAACCCTCTCCACTTCCTGTTGAGTCATCACCTACCTCAGGTTTTGCAGTGCTGCCGCCACCAACATGCCACAGAGCAGAAGCAGCGTGAGGACGTAGGGGTACAGCAGCAGGGTGCCGGCCAGGCGCTCAAGCGTGTCCAGGGGAAGCAAGCCAAAGGCCTCCTCACACAGATACAGACTGGCATCAAAATCCCTGCAGGGGAGGCGAGAGGCGGTCATCTGTTTGTTTTTCACTGAGAATAAATAAACACTGCAATGTCGAAACCCGGTGAGCAGGAAGCTATAAAAGTTTGGCGCAGATCCAAATTACACTCTTTAAAATTATGAAATAGGGCCATAAATTGGCCTTGACAGAGACTGCACTTTGTGAGGGCCCTTCAGTTACTGATGCAAGCAGCATTTTACTGCTGCAGCTGGTCCAAGTGGAGCCTGTCATACGATAAGTCTGAGTGACTGTGAGACGACTGGATGGAGCAGGACGTTTCTTGGATTAAATGATTTCGAAATATTAGTGGCAGAGTGACTTAACACAAAATTATGTATTTTAATGTAAATAAAACAACTTTAATGCATGTGAATAAACATATTTGCCTCAGAAATGCAGTAAAACAGAAGCAACAAATAATAATAATAATAATAATAATAAAAATATATTAAACTTATGTGTGACTACCTGATCAACACTACAAACTCAATATTTTTTCTACACGTGTGCAAAAATGTGCATACTTCTCATTTTTATTTTATTTTTTTATAGCGTTTAACTGAAATTATTGTTACCTGGCAACTGTACGTTATTTTCACATCAATATCCACTATATATTTTTGCTGCTTTTTAAAAAGAGATTTTTTTACTCATTAAAGTTTATTTCTACTATTGCAATAACCTCTCTTCTCCATACACAGTGTATATGTCCAGGACTTTTATTGTGAAAGGAACAGGAACTTATCCTTTAAATCGAGTTTCTGGAGCTTAAAAATGAAGCCGATGTGTAATTTAGTAAAAACTGCAGTTATTGAAATTGCCACCTGCGGGTCCACCCCAACAGTAAAAACGTGCATGCATTATTTCCTTAAACTGCATGTTTACAGCGTGGCACAACAAAATGTTTTGGGCTCTATGAATACGTTTCCCTTTCATAACAACTCTGGGTGGGGGGAATTTTCTTAAGAGGGGGTGTGGCTACTTTGGCAGGTGTCCTGATACAGGGAGCTAGGATTCTGCTAGGTCCCACTCAAGTGGACTTCCCCACAGCTTTAATGCCTTTTGGGCATTTTCAGTGGGTTATCTGACTAATGTTAGACAATGAAGCTTGAAATTGCAGAGACCAAAAATCTTTTATACTGTCTACAGCAGGGACACTAACTCCTTTAGTTCATACAATCTAGGAACAATAAGAACTCTGAAGCACTAAAAGAAATAAACCTTCAGGCTGCTAAAAACCTCCAATCAAATCAGGATAAGTTAGTAATCCACGTTAAAAGACCCAATCTACAATCTGGAAACACAACTTGTGCATTTAAAAAGGACAGTTGCAAAAATGTGCATGAATTGTATGTTTTTTACATTACTTTTAAATCACTATGGAAAAATAAATAACACGACCACTTCTTCCTATTTTGGCTGCTCCCTTTAGGGGCCGCCACAGTGGATCATCTGCCTGCATCTACCACCCTCTGCTGTCACTAAAACCCTCTGTGTGTCCTCGTTCATGACATCCATGAACCTCCTCTAAACTCCTCCTCTTTCCCTCATGTTGTTAACATCCTTTGTCTGGTATTTGCAGCATCCTTCCTCTGCGCTTGACCAAAAAGGCTCCAAAAGAAGGCCAAAGAAGAAAAACCCTGACATGTCTGTGCAGTACAAACTTTTTTTTAGGTCAATATTTTGTACGTTGGACTTTTGATATATGAAAGATACAAACTGACAAAATAAATTAAACCTATATAACATTAAGTACATCAACATTATGCAAAAACAAAAAGTGGGAATTCATAAACACAACATTAATCAAATATGACATGAACTGATATTTTGGTTTTAATTTTATTCTTGGCTGTTACAATCCTCCACATGCTGATAAACCACCACGAGGATAAATAACTAAACAGAGTTGATATAAACGCAAACGCGGTGCAAGACTCCAGGGATTAAAAAAAGAAACACTTGGAGAGACGAAATAAGTCGACGCAAGTGAGAGAAACAGGAACAGAGAGAGGCAGCGATAGAGTATGCACTGCATTTCCCACAGACTCCTGAATAATTGAAGCGCCAGTTGTGTAGCACCAAGTTGTGAGCTGTGTTATCTGCCACCCTGGAGCAGCCATCCAGTGGCTGAACTGTTCAACACACAGACACACACAGAAACACACACACAGTATCTGATCAATGGGAGGTCTGCTAGTGTTACCCGGCCATCTATTATTCACACACCATAACACTCCAGGTGCTACAATACTGGTGCTTAGTGAATAATACAGTCACTCTGGATCAAGTCAGGAGTTATGTACCAGTGCACACCACACACACTTTGTATATGCAGTTTGCACTACTGTTTGGGAGCAAGCCTGTATTTCACATGTAGTCAGGACTAGAGGAGGTGTTCATACCTGGTCGAACCCAGAGCAAACTTTGACTTGATGAATTTAAAGATGTGCTCGTCTGATTGGAGCTGGAGGGCTTTCTGTAAGCACACACGCAAAGAGAAGATCAGGTGAGGACTAAAGATCAGCATGTTAAACCAAGATTACTGATGAGGATAAGAAGGAAGGAGTGTGTTGTGAAATAAGAGACAGATCACAAGATAATGAGCATATGATGAGAGAAAAAAAGAGGAAAATGGAGAGAAAATGTATTAACCCTTTAAAACCG